GTTTCGTATGAATTATTCCTTGATCGAGTGTTCGTCATTGATATATTCTACTAAAAATCTTCGCTTGTAATTGAAGAATATATTTGGGTAGTTGTTTATTATGAACAATTCCTTGATCGACTGTTCCTCGATTATATGATCAACTACGAATCTTTGCTTTCAAATGAACAAAGCATGTGAACAGTTGTTTCCTATGAATTATTCCGTGATCATGCGTTCCTCGAGTATGTAGCCAACTGGAAATGTTTGCTTCGAATTGAACAATATATTGGAATAGTGGTTTATTATAAATTATTGGTTGATCGAGTGTTTTGCGTCGATATGATGAATTACATATCTTTGCTTTTAATTGGAAAAAATATTTGAATAGTTGTTTGTTATTAGTTATTCATTGATCAAATGTTCCTCGGTGATATAAACAACCAGAAATCTTTGCTTCAAATTGAACAGAATTTTAGAATAGTTGTCTGATATGAATTGTTCGTTGATCTAGTATACCCGAACGATTTAATCCGTTAGAAAACTTTGCTTCAAATTGAACAAAATATCTGAATATTTCTTCTTATTATTCGTTGATCGTGTAGTGTATTTGAAGCGGCAAATTTGCGTGCATCGTTTCTTTCAAGTAAGAAGCATAATTGAATAGGATGTTTAAGACAGGTATGTTGTGTCGATAGAGTATTAATGATAAACCATAGAGAGAACACTCTGATAATGTATTCCATCATTCATAGTTTTTCTTCTATGAGTTCATTATCATTTGTAGTATTTTATGATTTGGAATTAATTCAATACTCTTGTGAAATACGAACTAAAATAAGTTTTGAAGTATGGCGGTAAAAATGTTGACCCCCTCCATAGAACGTGATAGACGCTGACCAGAGACCTTTATCTACAGTGTCAGACATTGTTGATATATGATCGCAGATTGTATATCCAAAACGGCTCGTTATAATGTATGACCTAATTCCTCACTGTATTTCTGAAAAAATAAAGGGAGAGTGAAGAAATATGTCATTTTAATTCTGCAGGGATTGCATTAATAGCTTTGGTTTCTTTGTAGGACATATGGTACAAGTCCAACTTCACATTATTAAGTGGAACGGTACCATCAACGATCATCAAACTCAACAAATATTATGTAGTAGTCAGTTTCCTCCTCTATCTTATCAATTAGTTAGCTTCCTTTTTATAAATTGTGAACATGCTTTCTTTCTCATTTTATATACTTGCCAAATTTTTTTATATTTTTTCTGTATTTGTCGTAATTATTCATGCTAATAAACTACACTTAAAACATATTTCATTTGATTGCTTGAGGACAACAAGAAATATAGAGAATAATTATGAACAACGTGCAATTGTTTTCCTTTGTTCAAAATCAAGCATTCAGCCAATTATTGTTTCGTTGAGAGCGAGGGTATAAGTTTTTAAAATATTTCTGCGATCCAACTAAAGAAGCTCTCATTTGTCACGAACGAGTTTAATATTTCGAAGATAAGAGCCTCATCAGGAACCTGTATATACTACATTGATGGTCACTTCAATTAAAGGACAATGAATCCTTCAATGTTTCAAGCATAGCTCTAATGTAGAGGCACAATCTTGTTCTATCGTCTTAAATTCGAGTGCAGCCTTTTTTCAAGTGTCATATAAATTGAACACTTGGTAGATATCATCAAACAAAATTTGAATTCAAGATTAAAGTAAGTTTGTCTTCCAAAACAACAAACCGTCTGAATAAAATTGACTTGCTGAAATTTTCTTCAATCATCTTCAAAATTTAACATTTTCTGTGTAAGTCCATTCTAGAGAGTTCAACAAGAAACATTGTCTTCATATCATTTTGCAAGAAAAAAGGAATCAAAGTTTTCAATTGTTCGTTGTTTGCTTGGTAGCGCTTGCAGCTACATCCATTAAATAAACAATAAGAAAAATAATTATTTTTTATTTTAGTAAATGTGCTGCCTTCTAATCCTATTCCACCAAAGTTTGAAGAGTGTGAGAATATGAAAGATAGTGGGTGTGTTTCTGAGTCCAACAAACCAGAACGAATTTCGACTTTGCTTAAGGATCTAATCAAAGGGCTATCACTTCGTATTTGTTCAAACAATCCAAAAATCATAAATAAAATGCATAATTTACATGAATTACAACTCATTTCTGATTTTTCGGAAGGTCATACTGAGTTTTTTTACAGTGTTTATTTTTCGAACTCTTTCTTAATATTGATATTACTTATTTATTTACTTATTTATTCGTTTCGTTTCGGTAATGATGTTGCCTTCGTCAGACTAAATATATTTGTTTACAAACATTTGCACACACATACACATCTTTTTCTTTAACTTTCTCTCTCCTTTCATATTGATTTTAAATATATGACAGTAGGACGGCAAGACCGTGATAGTGGAAGGATTTGTTGACTATTTGTCTTCTTCCTCCGTCGCACTATCCTATATTTAAAAACAATATGAAAAGAGCGAAAAAGTTAGAAAAAAAGACGTATATATGTGTATAGAAATATTTGTAAACATAAATATATTTAGCCTGATGAAGGCCACATCATTACCGAAACCTAACGAATAAATAAAGAAGTAATATCGATATTAAGAAAGAGCTCAAAAAACTAACACTTTAAAAAAACTCAGTATGACCTTCCGAAAAACCAGAAATGATTTCAAAAATCTCTGTGGAGAGAGAGTATACGCCATCGCTTGGAAAAACTATACCAATGATAAATGAAAATTCAACAGCACATCCAGTTTCTAAAGAGATGTAAACAGCATAAAGTCATTCCGTATTGAATGCGCTTGAACAACGTTATAAATATTTGCCAAAATAAACATTCATTAAACACAACTATGATGAAAATAAGAAACAACACGTTGAAATGATAGCATCAACAAAAAAGAATTATTACTATAGAAATTGTAACACAAGAGAACATATTGAAGTGGTATATGAAAAACATCGAAGCTCAACGTCAACACGAAACAGACTTGAGTTGGATTAAAAAAAACGACAAGAACAAGAAAACGTTTATGAAAGGAAAATATCAAAAGAAATTAGATAGATTAATACAACAAAGAAATACGTCAACAAGAAATAACGAGACGAGAGTAAATATCGATACAACGAAAGTCATAAATAAATCTAAAATAAATTTAACAAAAACACAATTAGAAGTACTTGCAATGGGATTTAAATTTGTACAAACACCTAAATCAACACAGGTAATAGAAATGATAGCCAATACGGAAAGTTTATTAAAAACAATGCCAAATATAATAAAACAAGCCACAGTGCCAGAAATATCAGCATTTATTCCCTCAACTGAAAGGAGGGTCATATAAAAAAAAATCATTTTGAGGGGTGTGGGTGCATGTGGGTATGGGTGTGAGAGCTCAATTCATCCCATTCCACACCTACCACCCACACCAATATAGAAGACAGCTTTTTTGTAGGTCTTAATGATAGCTATTGATGCTGAAAAAATGGCTTCGATTCTAAATCAAATAGTGAAGGACGAAGGCATACAATATTGTAGCGTACTCTACAATGAGCGTGAAAAAGTGTGTAGTCGCGCTTTTTGTCCGAAAAAGTTGAATCAGTCAAGCATTGTTTTTCTTAGATATTTTTACATCATAAGACGCAGTTCTTCACGGGCTATTTTCTAATGACATAAAAAGATGGGAAACCTCCGTTTTGAAGTACAAAGGATCGAAATACTTTGAAAAAACGTGAAAAATTGAAGTGGTTCGTTGTTTAAAAATCCTTTCTTGGCCCTTGTTCATTCATTTAACCCTTTCGCGGCTATATGAATATTGCTTTTTCATAATTGGGGGAAGATTTCATTTCTTCATTGATAAGAGCTGTAACACTTCAAAACAACTTTTATCCACGTCCCTCTTATAAATATGAGCTAGGAACATTCCTTTATCATTGGTTAAAGACTCAGCCTCTTTGTTCAAAGTATAGCAGAGATACTCAATTTTTTCTGTGATAAATGAGCTTTTAGACTACTCTTTACTGTGAGCCAACGGTGGTTCACATCTCCTCGAATGGGTTAATAGAGTTCGTGGAGCATCCGAAAAGGCATGGGCTGGTAGAAAAAACAAGGCTCTTTCTTTTTGTAAGAGTCATTACTATGTTAATGCTTGAAATAGTAGAAAGCTTTTGTACTACATTGAAAGTACGAAAAATGACCATTTTTTCGCCTAGACCAATTACCTCTATTATCGAAATGTACTTCCGAACTCAGCAAGGGATAGTCAGATCAAGCTAATATTTTGAATTTAGTAATAACTCGTTAAGGCCTTTTTTTTCAGAATATCAAATCCAAAATCAAAATTTTTTCCCCGGCAACGATATCTGGTACTGCGGCGGGCCCTCTCTTAAATATTCTAGAGAACCTGTGGGTGACAAAATATAAGCAGAGCCTATATGAATGTACAATAAACGAACAACAGGAACCTGGATGTAGGTGCGGGTTTTATGAAAACAAGTGTTACATCCAGACGGTCAAAGCCACTATTCTATATATTTTACTGGACATTAACATTGCAGTCAAAGAGAATCTTTTGTAAACTCACATTTGATTATAATACTTAGGCAATACTTATCAACACTTATTCATCGAAACATTATCTTAGAAAAGAAAAAAAATATTTGATATTTGGAAAATAACTGCTAGCTAACTTCTTCTAAGACTTTAATTAACAAGTGACAAGAGACTGATAGATCTATCAGACAAAAATGAAAATGCAATACAATAGATATGATCATCTCTATTCAGTCGCTAGATTTAACTTTAGCACAATCATATATATGTAGAAATACAACTCGTCATAGAGTAATTATGTGATCGGAAAGCAAGTCTAGTATAATAAATAGACATTATCTTTAATGTTGTTTTCGTCCGGTTATCATGATGATCTCGTTGCAAAACAAAAAATTAATGATGTCTCAGAAAAAAAAAAGTTTTATATTCATCTTTGTTAAAGTGATATGAATATTGTTCTATTCGTTTCATCTTTTTGATTATCGTTTGATACTAATTTTGATGTTTTTAAATCATTTGACTCAACAAATTGATTAATTTTAGTTTCTGCAAGTATTTGTTCTCGATTTTGTCGTTCATTTCGACGTCGTTCAACATTAGTACGAAAACCTTTTAAACCCATTCGACTTAAATAAATATCACGTTGACGTTGTAGTGTTGTTGTTATCGGATGATAATCTTTTGAACGATCTTTTTTTATATCAATTGGTGTCTCAGCTTCAGTATTTGATACTGGTAAATGAAGTGTACCAAGAAAATATTTTGTAAGACCATCAAGTATATCAACACAATGGATAAGATCGTGTTCACATATTGGTAAATCCAACGAAACAAGTATTAAATGATTTGGTTTAGGAATACGTAATGGTGACTCAAGACAATCAACAAAATCTGATAATTGATTATATCGTATAAATTGTGAACCTAATGGATCTAAACATTGCCATTTTTCATAATACATATCATAATCATCATGGGTTAAGCCCTAAACGAGAAAAAAACCAAAATAAAGAAAATTTTATTGTCATCAATTTACTTGTTTTACATCTTCGTGTGCTTGAGAAAAATTTTCTAATATTACTGCAATATACATATTTACCTAAATGATAATTCAAAATCAGACGAATCTCAAAATAAAATATTTTAAAATTTTTACCATAACGAAAGAAGTAATTATTACATAACTCACAAGAAATGGTATTGCAATAATCCTATCACCACAATCACCTTTATGTGATGGTAATTTAATTGTTGGATCACAATCTGGTGGTTGATCGTTTGTTAATGCTTGGAAAACACCAGACCAACCAGCAGTTGTACACATTTGAAAAAGTACAATCATTGAATTAGGAAATGTTTCAAAATTAAACAAATCTGTTATACCAGCTGATTTTCTTACATAAGCAAAAAATGACATGCCGAAGATTGCATAAATAAACATGACCAGAAAAAGAAGAAGACCAATATTAAATAAAGCTGGCATTGAAACAGCTAATGCAAACAGTAATGTTCGAATACCTTTTGCTCCTTCATTAAAGAAAAGAACAAACTTTAAAAAGTCTACAATTCATTGATTTTTTTATCAAATAGAACCTTTTACAAGACGTAATATTCTTCCAACACGTGCAACACGAACAATACGTAATAATGTTGGATTAACAAAAAATTTTACCATAATTTCTCCTAATGTTTGTCCTAGTAAGAAAAAAAATAAATATTTTTATTAATAATAAAAGAATCTAAAAACAACATACCAAGAATTGATCCAATCACAATGATAAAATCAAATACATTCCATGGAATAGTAAAATATTTAAAATTCAATGCAATTAATTTCATCAAACATTCAATAGTAAATCTAAATTAATATTCATATTAAATTAAAAAGTTGATGAATAATTCTGGAATCATTTTTGATAGGAACGAGATGGAGATCTGCGATTTCTACCATTTAAAAAAGTGATTAGCTCAGCCTTTTTAACATCAAACTTATATGGATTATTGACCTGCAGGCAAGGATTCTGGAGCACTAGTGAAAATTGAAATTGAAAAAATTTTCCATTGCACAATATTTTGCATTTAAGAAACTTGGTGGATAGCTCTCAGAAAATTTGCAAGAACAATCTGATATCTCATATTCGATGTAGTTTCATTTCCTCTTGTAAACGGTGAATACCGCAGATGTCTATTTAAAAAATGATTTCAACGATATTCATCTGCCTTTTAATTTGAAATAGCTTTTAGTATCAATTAGATAACAGAAAAATTTGTAAAGTGTTTGATCATCTATCAAAATGTTCAACTGCGTTTTAGGAGTTACAGAGTCATACTATGGAGCAATACTAAAATTTTCAGTGGCTGCAAGGCAACTTAGAACTACAAGCTTTGATGATACAGTCCTTACTTTTTAAAATAATGCAACGTCTATCAACATGAATAACTATTATTAATATTTTAGATTTTGAAATAGTCCTATATCGAAGTGATTCATTTCATATCTAACGTCATGAAAATGACATGGTGAGTGTGACACATGTCCAGAAGAGATCATACGAAATCTGTATATGTGCTAAGCAAGCTTGCTGTATCATATACAATCATAGTTTGAAGATTCATCTAGCTCAATATAATGTTTTGTATGTTCATACTTTGTTCACAAAAAAATATTTATATGATGCTAGAAAATGTACAATGATGTTTTTCCTGCAGATATTTTCAATCGAATCTAATTAAAAATATTTTTCTAACATATAATTGAAATCAGTAACATGTAATAGAGAAATCTATGTATTGTGAGTTTTTCTCGACTCAGTTTTGTGTTTATAATGCTAGTTAAATTGGCTTGAACCTCTACCATGAGTAAAGTAAATTTTATTAATGAGTTTAGTAGACAGAAAACTTAACAGAATATATCTTGCTTAACATTACGTCATTATTTTCATTGATTCACCAAAATCATACCAAAAAGTTGTAATACCTCAAACATATTGTGGACTTATTACTGATTATATGCTTACATTGCAACGAAGAAATGATTAATATATCCAAGAACAAGCTCGAAAGTATGACTTTGATTATAATGTTCCAGACACATGCAAACCATATTAAGAAAAATACATATCATTATAAATATATCAAATTTTTGGTTGGTTGTTAAATCAAAAAGAAATCTTGCACAAGCAAGCTAAAATAAACAGCTGAATTAATATGAATATATATATTCATTTGATGGGAAGATTTACTCGTGGCCTTGGTAATGCTTTAATTGGTTTCTTACTACCCATTTTTTTTATAGCATTATAATACTTTTTTTGATCTTCTGTCATAAACATCTCTATTGAATCATCGTTTCCTAACTAAAATTAAAAAAACAATGTAGATATTCCCAGTTATTCTTATGTTATTAAATTAATAAGAAAACTTAATTTTCGTTTTTGTTGATTAAAATTATCAATAACAACACCAATAAATAAATTGAGAGTGAAAAATGAACCAAATATAATAAATAAAACAAAATAAATAAAGGCATAAATATTAGCCTCATATTTCGGTTGAACGTCTATCTAAAAGATTTGTATTATAAAAACAAAACATCGATGGCGAAAAAACCTAATAGAAATAACTACATACTTCTTTGGCATCAGTTGCATCAGCCATTATCTCAATCCAACCTTTGAAAGTTGCCTATTTGAATAAAATAAAAAAACAAAAATCTAATTCTTCTCAAAACAAATGAACAAGTTGACAGTATGACTTAAACGATGAATACAACTGAAGTGTTCGTATTTCGTTGTGAAGATCGAAACTGTAGAAGTAAACTAACATTTAACTTGCAATTATGGAATGTCTATGAGCGTCTTATACAAGATTTGTCTCAATCAAATAATGCTATCCCTTGCTGGCATCATATGTTCATCAAACGTGCATCAACAAAATATTGTTTCATCACTAAATTTGCTTAGTATATGTTACCTAAACAATCTAGATTTGAGATCGATATTGAACAACTTCTTATCGGTGAGCTATTTTATGATACCAATAATTTTGAGAACTATTTAATGCAAATAGCTATATACTTAACGAAATGAGCGGTCAACATAATCATATATCCAAAACTTATATCCTTGTACTTCAACACTCGTTTTAGATTGTTTTTCATACAAATAATTATTCATACGCATGAAAAATGTTTCTTTTCATGATTTAGTTAAATCTATTAAAATGTAAAATCTTTCAAGTTTTATCAATTAAATGAAATACTACTAATAGCAAAGATTCTTTTCTCGATTTATTCCTACGATAATTTCTCTTACTATACTTTTACACAATATTTAGTATAGTTTAAAAACAATGGTTTATCTCAATATACACTCCCTATAATATTTATTTTCTATTTATTAAATCGAATTAAATAACTTACAACATGAAATAAAGCCAAATAACCACGAAGAACATTATCAAAATTAATTCGTGAATTTTCCCATATAAAATTTTTATTTAAACAATCAATTTTATTTGTTACATTTTCTGATATATTAACACGATGATGTGTACCAACATAAACACATCTATAAAATTTTCCACCAAATAATTGTACACCCATGATTGAAAATATTAACCAAAATACAAGACAAACAAGTAAAACATTAAAAATAGATGGTATAGAACTAAATAATGCATGAACAACAACCTATTTGAAAAGAAAAAATTAAACAATTAAATAAATATTTTTTTTTCATACTCGAATTCCTTCAAATTTTGATAATGCTTTTAATGGACGTAAAGCTCTTAATGTTCTTATTGATTTAAATGCTGGAATATCAGCTACACCAAATGAATCAAGAATAGTTCCAAGCACACTAACAACTACAATAATAAAATCTAACCAATTCCAACCATTTGTAAAATAATTTTTTATTCCATATGCAAACCATTTTAATATTAATTCAATTGTAAAAATAATTGTAAATATCTTATCAAATACAGCTAAAATTTCAAAAAATATTGTTTGTTGTCGTGTTTTTACATCTTCTAAAGCCTTTTATAGAAAGAAAAATAAAAATTCTTTTTATAAATTTTTATTTTTATCTTTTTTTATCAACTTACTAAAGTTGTACTACTAGCTAATATACTACCAACAATAAGCCATTCAAAAAAGCGATGTTCAACAAAAAGATGAGCTATACTACGAAAATATATCCATTGTTCTTGTATAACTTTTGGAATACATTTAGCAAAACATGAAAAATGATTTGAGATCAATATAGGACAACAATCTGATGATCGATGAAGTACTTGCCATTTTGAATTAGATATTATAGAATCATTATTCATTGTTTGCATTTCAATATCTTCCTGAATTGTTGATAAATTATTGGTTGTACATACTGAAACATTGAATTCTTCTATTATATAAAATATTAGTAAAGAAACATTACCAACAAGTTCTCGTGTAGTAGACAATGACTATAGAAAGAAAATAATATCAAATTGTTTAATAAATAAATGATTTAACAAACTTGATTATTGATATTGTTTTTGATATAATCTTCTTTTTGTTGTTGTTGTTGTTGTTTTTGATGAAAAATAGATTCAATTAGATAATGAAAAAATCGTTGAATACGATCAATTGCTTCGCCAATTTTATTTTCATCATCTTCTTTTTCAATTAAAATATTTGAACCAAATGATGCAAGTAAAAGTGCCAAGAATAAGTTTAATATCTATTAATGTAGAACATTAAAAAGTTTTCTATAAGTATTGCATAAGAAAGAAAGATTCTTCATATGAATGAGTACATTTGATGATTTTTGGCAAAAGTCAATTCAAAACATATTGAAATTTCAATTTTTTTTTTTTCGAAATTTTATGAGAAATCGTGTTTTTTCAACACCGACATCAATTAATTCTAGACAAAACAAAATTTTCCTCTCAAATGATTTGATATCCTGATAAAAATCACAATTTCGACTAATGTGGAAGCTTCATAAAATCTGAACTAGAAAACGATAGAAATCTGAATTTTTTTTACATTGATAATTTTAGTTTAGCTGAGCAAAGCTTTCATTCAAAATGCTTTCAGCAAAAATTTTGAAGTTTCACAAAGTTCGCAAATATAAAATATCCAGCTCAGCTTAAATTAGAGTTTTTATTCAAGGACTCAATTGTTTATGAGGAAAAAATTCATGTTACATAGAACTTTTTGGTGTATATATTCAAAAAAAATTTCAGCTGAAACAGTCGAGTTGTTCTAGTCTCAAAAATCATAAAATTAGTGTTTCTGTTATATGTGTTGCAATGAGTCCAATAGACAGTTATCTACTGAGCACTTCCTACAATGATCGATCATCACTTACGTGAATTGGTTAGTTCATATACTTAGATGTTGAATATGCTAATTGTAAAGATAGAAAGACTAGACACATGACATTTTATGATAGTTTGAATAGACAAGAGTAATATCTTCCTCTTTCTTTTATTTAACTAATATAATATAAAAGACAAAATTTCAGTCACTAAGTAATAATATAATCAATAAGGATGTTTTATCAACGATAAATATTTTTTTTCAACGTATACCTGATAGTACATTTGAGAATAAAGAGTGAAGATTGTTTTGTAAATCTGCTACTTTTATCTATTAGTGAGAAGTTTCAGAAATAACCATATATCACCTTATGCGTTATATCATACAGTAGTGATGGGAACAAAATTGACAGATAGATGAATAATCGAAATGTAAATGCAGTATCTTTAAAGTGATTTCTTACTTATGATGGCTCTATTGAAAAAAGGAAAAAAAAGTTGAGTAAATATTACGTACCACAAGATTACCAATGACAAATGTTAAGAGAAAAAATGGAATACATGGCCAACCAACACATTCAAGACATATCCACATTGATTCAATCCATTCACCACATAAGACACGAAAAACAATCCTTCAACAAAAGAGAAAAAAAAATCAAAGTTTTTTTTTTTTCTATTTAATTTTATTCAATAAACTTACATAAATGCATGAAAAAAATCAAAAAAATGCCACCTTGGTATATCTTTACCAAATTTATCTGCATATTTTTGACCAAATAGCTATAAATTAGTAAGAATAAATTCATTCAAATTTTCATTCAATTTACCTGCATTCCCATAACTGCAAAAATAAATATGATAATAACAAGAACCAATGTTAAATTTCCTAAAGCTCCTATTGATTTACCAATAATTGACATAAGACGGTTTAATGTTTGCCAAGACTTAGCCAATTTAAATACACGTAGCTTAACAGAAGATAATTAAAAAAAAGCTTAGAATTCTATTATAACTACTTACTAATCGCAATGAGCGTAAAACATTTAAACCTTTAATATTAGCAAGACCTAATTCAACAACACTAATTATAACAATTAATAAATCAAATACATTCCATCCATTCTTTAAATATTTAACTGGTGTCAATGCAATTAGTTTTAGTACACATTCAATTGTAAATATACTTGTAAAAAAATAATTGCCTGCTGTTAAAATTCTTGTCATTTTTTCACTTTGACCAGGTTGATCAAGTGCCATAAATAATGTATTTAATATAATACATATTGTAATAAATAAATCCATAAATGCATCCAATATAAAAATAGCAACAGCATCCTGTAAAAATATATATATGTCTATTGCATGAGTTTATTGTGAATACTGTTGGTAAACAGTGAATTACTATTTTCAATAGATGAGATATTTTAGATAGACACATGGTGGTGAGGTCAATAAAAACATGAAGAATCTACGATGAGACCTCTCATGATGAGAGTAACGAAAAGATCTGAAAGTTTCATCATAAACTATTCTTTTTAAGGCTTATCTCGATGCAAAGTTTTAAGACAAAATTCTAAAATAAATGTTTTTCTTGTTGCTGAAGGGGTCACAATATGCAATATTTCCGCAGAAATAAGCGTAGGTCCTGAACTCTTTTCAGAGTATTGATCATTAATTAACGCTGGCAAGGACTTTTCTTCATAAGACATAAGTAGTTTCGTATTAACATTTATTTCGAGCTGAAACATCATAATTTAATGCAACGTACTTGAAATTTTTGAAATATCGGCGATTCATGACTCCATTCGCAACAATAAATTCGTAGAAGTTTAACGAATAATCGACCACATGTATTAGTTGTATCCATGCCTGAAATGATGATGTTCATTCAAGATCACACTCAACAAATGAACTGTACTGATCGTTAGTATAACGATCGGCTTCATACAATATAGTATATTGTTTTAGATAATCAATCGAAAGCGGACACATGCAAAACTACAAACATGCATATAGAATAGATAGTAAACATAATGCGTTTTTTTCTTTGATGTTGCTTTCAAGAATACGGATCAAAAAAGGAAGATCGAAGACTGCAATCATTGTACCGTTGAAGAAAAAAGTCGATGAAAATAAATTTAATTATTAACGAAAACTAAGTTTTGTATTTTATAGAATGATGTCCATTGAATATGAAAACAATAGTTTCTAAATACTTTTCAACGTCGAAAATGATTTCTATAAACTCTTGAAAAGTTTTGAAACTTTAACGCAGAAAAATAATATGAAAAATATTAGCTGTTTTCTCACTGATGAAGCTAAAAGCTAGGTTCTTGGTTTACTGCTATGATATATCAGAAATCAGAGTAGATGACAACTTGATTTTTTCAGAAATGGAATAATCATCTTTAGAACAGTGGAACGAAAACAAAATTTATTAAAATCAGTTGAGTAGAACTCGACTAATAGACATTTTTCTTGTTAACATACAATCCTTCAAAAAGTATTCACTATACGGACGTTTTACTGTATGTGAAATTACAAAACTCTTGACAATATGACTTACTTTTTGATCGAACATTTGCTCTATCCAATTTGTTAGCAGGTAATATTGCAGTGATTGGAGCACATTTTAAATGCGCTCCGGATTGATAAAGCTTAAAGATAAATTTTAGAAAAAAAAGGATCAAAGTATATTTTCTTTTTACTAAAATAGTTGAATCAGAATTATTTTGATTTTGATCTGATAAATAAGAAATACCGCTTGTCTGTTGACGCTTTTTTTCGTCATCTGTTGAATTCTGCAATGTTTGATCAGAAAATATTGCTTGAAATGATTGTATGTTATTTAAATCATTTTTCTAAAAATTTTATTATTATTTAAAAAACAGAAAAAAAAAACGTTTGAAATTATTTACTTTTTCGTTTTGTTTATCTTCAATAGAAATACTAGTATGTGATATTTGATGATTTGAATCTTGAAAAGATAATGCATTTTCAACATATTGATCATGATCAACATGTGAATGTGCATGAGCATCTGATACTCTTTGTGCTTCTTCATTTTGAAATTCAAGTTCATCTTCAATTTTACGTTTTTCACGTTCTTCATTGTCAGCTACAACTATTTTTTGTTGTTCAAGATAAGACATGGAAACAATAGCTAAGATTAAATTAACTAAATAAAATGAACCAAAAAATACGACAGCAACAAAATAAAAAAATTGATAAACACCAGCTGCTGACAGTACCTAGATTAACATATAATAATAATAATTTATGGAATTATGTTTTTTTTTTCTTTTACTAGTTGATAAAGATTTTCCCAATAATCTTGTGTCATTAATCGAAAACACGCAAGCATAGCCCAACCATAATTATCAAAACTATACCAACAGAAATTTATATAAAAACAAAAGTATTTAAATTCTACCTTGTATATCCAAAATCAGGACTAAATAAAAATAACAAAAGTATGTTAAATTAATGATTAAGAACAAAAATTTACTTTATGCCTCGATCTTGCCAACAAACATAACCATGAGGACATTTTCTACTTCCACTTGCATTACCACAAACAACATAACGTTCATTTTCTCGATACCAATTAGCTGGAAAAGTAAAAATTGACAAGTAAATTATCGTCGATGATTGTATACATTTCTTTCTAAAGACTTCGTTAGAGTTAGTTTCGAACTCATAATTGATTGAAGTCTTGAATGATTAAAAGAAAAGCAAATAAAATCTTGCATACAATCTACTGCAGAAAGCTTGATAAAAAAAAAGAATTATGAAAGTGGCATATTCTAAATCTATTCGTTTCATTGATTCTCAACAAATAAGATATGCTGTTTCATTTAAATACAAGATGCAAAATCGAACGAAAAATCAATCGAAAAATAAAATCATCTTTTGAACTATGGACTAAGAAAAAAAAGAATATCAGAACCATTGTAGACAAAGCAAAACAAAATTATTTAAAAATTAGATTTGAAATTTACCTATATTCAATGTTTTCGACATATTCTTAGATGTTCTTAGGCATGTATGGCAATATCATAGTTGAAACCTTAGTGCTAATTTTTCTGTTATATTTGGACATTCGATTTCACGACTGTTCTAATGAGATTTACAAGAACAACAATTCTATAAATATTACAATTATTATGTACATGGAGACGTGCATGGGTCGTTTTTGATTTATTGAATAAATGAAAGGAAAATGAGACATCATTCTTCACACTAATGCCATTATCTGTATTAAAATTATAATTCAAAAAGATTTATTTTCTGCATTTCTTCCATAGTTATAGGACAGTCCTATTTGAATTATTACTCTAATCAATTTAACTTGAATTTCTGAACGCAATAAATAGTCATCAGCTACCTACTAATCTCAACATACTTTCATTATTAATTTTTTGTAAATAGGATTTGTATGAACTATTAAATCCAATATTGGAAAAATTGGAACTGTTTAAATAAGATTCATAAGTTGGTACACACTTTTGTCGAAGAACACCCATATAAAGTTGTAATCCTACCTATAATTAAAGGAAAAATTTATCCAAAATGTTTTTTTTTTCTAAATCTCAAACCAAAGCAAATATAGAAAGAATAAAACTTGATAAAACAGTTACATCTCGTAGAGAAATAAAAGATTGTATTAAAGCATTAACAATTATTTTTAAACCTACAATAATCAATTACTGAATAATCTATTAATATTAAACAATATACCAGGTACAACTGCAATAGTTTTTAATGCTCTTAATACACGAAATGTTCGAAGTACTGCAACATTTCCTAAATTGACAAGAAATGTTATATACCTATAAATAATCGAACAAAAAAAAAAAGAAAGATTCAAAATAAAATATTGCTCATCTTTTTAATACATACGCAATTACAATTACAACAAAATCTAACCAGTTCCATGGATCACGTAAAAATGTATGTTTTCGTAGAATAAATCCTCGTGCAACACATTTTATTAATGCTTCAAGTGTATAAATTCCTGTAAAAATATACCTATTTATGTTTAATAGAAACAAAAAAAAACACAATCTTATTTAGAAGTAGCTAAAAGAATATCACTTACTCATTCACTTCTGATATATTTTTAAGTGTCATAAATATGCAATTAATTAAAATAGTAAGCATAACAAATGTACTAAAAAGTGGATGTGTTAATATACGTATAGCTAAACGTCGAAACCAATTAAATGGAGAAAATATAAAACAGGCTGATGTTGAACTGAATCGAAATATTGTTTGATTTCGATTAATAACCATAAATATCTGTGATTTAAACAAAAAAGTAAAATAAACCTTTTCAAAAGATTATACATACATATTCTGTACGATAATACCAATCGATTTCTTCAATTGGTTTTCCAATAAGTTCAGCTGGAAATTTATTTTGTAAAAGTTGTGGTAATGTTTGTCCAACAGCTAATTCTCTATTAGGTACTCGTTTATAACTAGTATATTCATCTTTTGATTGCTTTTTGATACGAGTCTGTTCATCATTATTGTCTGTATTAATTGTTGATCGTTGTGATTGTTGATATGCAATATGTTCGGCTTCTTGTTGTCGATAACATTCAATACGTCGCAATGATTCATGTGTAAACTCACGAAATACAATCGAGTGGTAGTCCATCTTGACTATCAATAATTATATCTATTCATACATATTTTCTGGAAAAATAAAAAAAGAAAACATTATGCATGTTCAAACATATATATGTGAATCTATATATATCTAAATATATACGTCCTTCTGTATGTGCTTTTCTAAACAAAATTGAATAGATGGAAACAAAGATAACAGTAATTGATATTGTTCTTTTTGTTCATAAAGCACTATTCAATAAAAATTCGTAACCTATAATAAAGTCTTGAATAGATATACTAGATAAAAACTAAAATTATCCTTTCTTTTTTACAAGCTAAAGAAAAGTAAACTGATTCATTGCTATATCTGTTTGTTCATAAACAAATAAAAACTTGGCATCTTGTCCGAAATTCTTCAGAATCTTGTTGAAAAATTAGAATACATTAAAAAACATCATTCTCGTCAGTAAGTAAATATTTTCATTGACGATCTTTTTATTATTAATTTTATCCTTTTATAATCTCATGTTTATTTATTTTTTTCTAGAGCGTCTTTGAAACTAATTTCAACATATCAGAAAGCCAGAGGAAATCCACTAGATTGTTTCTTAACTTCTTTCAACTAAATCTTTTATACATCAATTACTACAATGTATAGTCTAGACATTAATTAATATGAATCGTTTCTCAAAGATTACTTATCTCGTATAATACATAGTTACGACTGAATAAGTAATATAATACTAAAAGAAATACTTATTCGATAACACAGCTTAGTATAATAGGTATAAGAATGATTTCTCTATATGCAATGCACGTCAAATGATATTATCCCCTATGTATTTCTTACTTTAGACTATTATAGTTTCCTTGAAAATCAAACAGTGAAAAATATATCAGAAAAAAAGATAGTATTTGTTTTTCAGTACAATATACATTTCATCTAGATTATGTAAAAAAAAAAAGCTTATTTGTATGAAGAATTAGCCATAATGACATCAATCTCTTAGATAACATTGAATATGTGATATGTACTACTGATTTTTCTTTCTCAATAATGAATAAACACAGAACAAATTTGTTTTTTATTAGAAACTCGATTCACTATGTAAGAAAATTACACGATTTTATGAAAAATAAACTTTTAAGTATTCACAGAATAACTGAGCTTACAACCATCAATATATGCAAAAACAACGAATAGATAAAAATCCAATTGATTCTTACCAGATAGATTGTACTTAAAACAAAATATCATACTTTATCTTATGCATTTTTTATTATCTGATTTCTATTTAGTATTTATGATTAATATAGCGTGTGATGCAGCGAAGTCTTCACTTTATATATACATACACGTAGGTGAAAGAATTTCATCGCGTGACATGCTATCATCATTTATTCATATGCAGTCATCTTCAATGAATTGTTTAGTATTATTATTCTATAAGATTAACACATGTTTATTCAGTCAAACAATTGACTTGATGTCATTTTTTATTCAGACGCATTATGATCAATTTTAAAGATTAAATATTTCATTGCATTGAATAGTTTTGTACTATGTTTCTAATTGACTTTTTTCGATTTATTGGATTCGTTTTTTCTTTTTTTTTTTTCAATATGCTAGACAAAGCCTTGAATAGATGATTAGTTTTTGCTATTTATAAATTAGATCAGCATCTTCTTTTTTATTTTTTCTTTGCGCGAACATCATATTGTAGAGTATTCAAATTAACTGTTATTATAGTTTCTTTTTGTTTATATCGCAGATATCAATGTTGAGAGAGTTTTAGGTAATTCAATTCTTTTACATATATTTTTAGTTACATAATTCATTATTTTGAACTGATGTCTGCATCTAAATATGATGAGTATATAAAAATTTCGATACTTCTATTCTAAGTCAAAACAGATGTGTACTCAGTTGACGATGAATGAAACAAAAAAAGATAAAACACATGATATTTTTCATCATATTTCTATTTTTCGCTCATTACTTTTCGTAGATTATGTTGGTTACGACCCCATCCAAAGGCATATAGGATTAGGATTGACTTGAGAGTAAATAAGTAAAGAAGATGATTATAGATAATCAATGTTCGAATGACGACGTTTATTGTACTTTAATTATACAATATATTTGTGTAGACGAGAAGCAACGAGCTGATCAAAGAGATGCGCATAAAACGAACATTTTTTTTCCCTTCTTTCTTATCGAATTACTTTTCACATCAACGTAAAAATGCCTCTTTGCTCTCATTTTCTTTTCTAGAACATGTCGCAAACAAAAATCAGTCATATATAATTAAATTGTATCCTACTAACAAAATGTCTTTGAATTTTTGATTGTGCAGCTGTCAGTATCCATGTTTTATCAGATCAACTTGTACACACACTCCAATGGTCACTTCTAAAAATACTATATAAAGCAAAACTAAAAAGAAACTTGTGTTGCCATCTTTTCTTTTGTTCGAAGGTTTTTATTTTTTTCTGCTGTTTCAGGTATCTTATCGTTATATTATACTATATTATTTTTTGAAAAATGTGAAGAAAGATTCTTACTAATATCGAATGAAATTTTTGTCTTGTCGTTATTCTAATATATGCGTTATTCTTGTTTTCTCTAGTTATAAAAAACTAATAATCTATATACTTCATTCTTATTCCATTCTTCATCTGGACGTGAAGGTCAGATTAACAAAAATCTGTTAAGTCAGATAAAAACTGAACTTTCAAAACAAAACGTATTCAATAATTCTAGATTTGTATCTTACTGAGGTTTTTTGATTTCGTACAATATACAGGATGTCACATAACCTTTGCCTCCCCCTCTACAACTCAGAGTATCAATGATATCACAAATGTATTTTATACCAAACTAAAACGCGTCAAAAACTGGATTTATTGGTACTAAATGGTAAAGGTTATGAAGACCTTTTAATGTCGAATATAAGAAATTTTCAGAAATTTGATACTTTTTGATATAGAAAAGTAAGGTGCTAGTAGTTCAAAAATGGAGTGAAACTTTTTTCTTGGATATTTTTACATGATTCGGTAGAGCTCGTCAAGCTGTGGTAAACTGCATATTTCAAAAATATTTTGAGCCATCTTTTTGAGATAAAAAATTGAAAAAATTACTTGGGAAATCTCAAACAATGTTCAAAAACTTCAGTTTTTTTCATATGAAAGAAAAACACGCGATTTTTCAATAACATTAGCTTTTGTTCATTATTGTTGCTGACTCAAACGTTTCGAAATATACTCATCCGATGCCGCGTGAAAAGCTGCATCCAATAAGCACATTTTGAAACGTACGAGACAGCAAAAACAATGAACAAACGCTAATGCTATTGAAAAATCGAGTGTTTTTCTTTCATATGAAAAAACTGAAGTTTTTGAACGTTTTTTGAGATTTTCCAAGTAGTTTTTTGATATTCGACATTAAAAGGTCTTCATAACCTTTACCATTTAGTACCAATAAATCCAGTTTTTGACGCGCTTTAATTTGGTATAAAATACATTTGTGATATCATTGATACTCTGAGTTGTAGAGGGGGAGGCAAAGGTTATGTGACATCCTGTACAACATAAAATATGCTGTAACTGTATGAATAGTACTCTAAAATTTCGAAACTCTATCCCTATCATAAGTGAAGAGGAGATCTACCACAAATTTTCCACTTTAGACAAAAGTATCAGCAGTCAAGCTGAAACTTTTAGCGATTGAAGATCTCAACACCGTAAGGTATCTGACTGCGCGAAGTGCAATAGTCAGCACATTGCTTTTATATTGTTTAGTCGTCATGCCGAAAATCTTTCTAGATATGTAAGACTTCGCTATGAATTATTTCAATGAGAAAATTACATTATTAAAAATAACATTTTAGATGTGAATGACCAATCTAAGACTGAGCCATGTACCGTCATATAAAGAAACCATCAGCTGTTTATCGTATTCGACATTTTTATATCTTCTGAACGTTACCGATTTTCAAAAAACAGATTTAAAATATGCAATTGTCGCATTCTTACAATCTCATCAATCTTTTTTCTATTCGAAACGATGTTCAGGTGTTGAAAACGAGTGTCTGACTTAAATCGTGACTCATAATACATCGAATGAATGGTGAAGATAAAAAATTGTCATGTGTGGATGTGGGTTTAATTGAATTGACGGCTCAAACGCAGCCTCTCACATCCCCCACATACCCGAGTACGTAATATTTTTATTTTGTCGGTGAGAGAGTTTATTTGACTCGAATATGGTCAATCTTCTTACCATACAGTACTTAACCATCCATTATGAAAATAAGTTAAATTAGACAACTAGATCAATAAAAACAGGGATGAAAGTATTATTCTATTTAATTAGAATAAAAAAAAATGAATAAGTTTGAAAAATTTATTTCAATTTGTGAAAGAGATGAATCAATGCAACATTTGATAATAACTACTTCCATTCTAAATAGATATTATTCACTATACATTTAATCGTATAATTCAATAGAAGTTATTTCGAAAGAATTATTGTTTATAATGTTTTAATCATTTGATCATCTGCAGTTGATATACACAAACACAATAATCGTAGTTGATGATTACATGTAATCTTAATTTTTATCAAAATATTTCGTACAAATAATTTCATATCTATATCATTTATAAAATCTGCTTTGAGATATATAATACGAGGACAAAGTTCAAGAAAAAAATAAACTTCTTCAATATTAGTAATCGTTTCTAAATTGACTTTCGTGATTTGATTTTTATTAGATATTAAACTAAGCAGTTCTTTTTCGTCAGTAGACAATAGAGAACTGCACGGGAGTCCGAAACCCGATTCTGACTCCGACTCCGACGGAGTCGGAGTTGGAATTGAAAAAGAATTTTCCAGAGTCGAAATAAAAAATTGAACCAAAATCCGATTTTCAATTTAGACTCTAACGAAGTTGAACTGATAGAGATTGTAAGAAATTGTTTTTGGTAGCTAATATCTGAGTTATATTAGTACAAAAATCAACGTGTCTGATTTTGTTTTAGAAA